CCTTCTCTCTCTCTGTCCTCTCCTTCGCACGGATGCCCGCGCATCCTCTCGAATCCCGCGTTTTTTTTCCCTCTTATCGCGCGTCGCCGTTTATACCAAACCGTCGCGTCTCGTATTTGGAGCGTCGCGATCACGTGACTGCGGAAACACTTCGACGACCTACATTGGGAACACTCGAATATAACACGTTATCTCGTTGCACGGTTACTTCATTCTTGAAACGAAGTCAAGATGTCTTCTTTTAAGATAAAATTTTGAACAATATTGTGGTCGAATTTTGTGCTCGAGATAATGGGAATAATTCTTTTTTTTTTCTTTTTTTTTTTGTGTAAAATGTCGCGTTATTTCAAGGCTGGACGAATAAATATTTCTTCCTCGCGTAACTTTCAGTTTCTGGGTGTGTTTAGTTCGAAGAACTAACCGCGGGAAAACGTGAAGTGGATTCGAAGATAGGAAGAACTGTACAAAGAACCTTACAGACTTATCGTACATCTAAATCAGTCTTATCGGCTTTCCGCGACCGATATTTGAAAAACATCAATGGTACGTGATCCGGCCACGAGATGCACAACAAATATTAGGAGACTCGGTGTCGTAAAAGATTCAGGGACAGCGTGAATGAAACGTAATCGATGCTTGCACGCGAGAAGACTCTAGAAGCGTTACATTGGACAGAGTTCAAATTTTGTTTCGAGACCGTTGAAGATTAAATAATTCAACATTTGTCGTAGTATTTCGTTTCTCTCGTTCCATAATGAAAAATCCTGTCACCCAATTCTCGGTTAGATCTGGGTTATACCACCCATTCCGTGTGACGTGACGACCAACGTGTTAATTTGACCGATGGATCAGCTGATCAACTAATCTCCCTCTATTATCTTCTCGTCGGTCCCTAGACGCCACTTCCCCGTCGTATGGGAATTTCTCGAGCCCGAGGGAAAAATTTGAAAAAGATTACCGTTGCTCCGAGAATTTGTCCTAGAAACGATTCTCCTTCGAATGGTACAAATCTAGCGGCTAGGAAGACGACAATGACAGGTCCCACACAAGAACGGAGCAAAACAGACACCGAAAGAAGTGACGTGCAGGTTCCTCTCATGGGATCTTCCCGTTGGGGATCCCAGGTAAGTAGTATCCCATTCTCGTGACCGCGGGACACAGGTACTACATAGAGTGGCCAACATCTTCCCACACCTACCTGAAAGCTCCGGGACCATTCTGATCGAGATTGGACATCTCAGTCTCCATCGATCTCCAGCATCCCTCTCTCTCTCTCTCTCCTACCCTCTGATGTTCCCGCCAACCCTGAGACCCTCGCAAGACAAGAGGCTAACGAGAGGGAAAACACAGTGGTAAAGTAAGAGTCCTGGAAACGCGCCCTTACACTTAGCCAGCGATGAGACTGACAAGGGTAAGGAACAGCTATAAGAACTGGAAAGATCGGCAAATTTTTTAATGTTTCTCCGAAGGTGGAAGAATGGAAGAATCTCCCCTTTGGAATCAACAAATGAAAGTCTCGGGTCGATTCATAAATTAGTTTTCATTTTTAACTCGCGATTCATTTCCAGATAAATTGTTACACGATGAACGAAATGAAAAATAATCCAAAAGTAAAGTTAAATCCTCGAAAATGAAAATCTACAAATCAAGAAGCAAACGAAACATCCCTCCCCCCCCCCCCCCGGCCCGCCCGACACACTCTCTCTCTCTCTCTTTCTCTTTCTCTCGAGGGGCCCGAAGGAAAGCAACGTTTAAAAGAACCCCGTAAGAGTAGGAGAGGAGGGTAGAGGGGAAAAAAGCGGGAACGTTGTCGGCGATCAGCTGAGAAACATTTCGAGAAGCTGGTCGGCTCCACCGACAAACCGGTTATCCTGGCGTGGGGCATCTTGGCGGGAAACCTCCTCCAATGGCGGCTTGGGGTTCTTGCTCTCGGTCTGTCTCGGTCACTCCTCCTCACCCCCTACCCCCCTCCTCCTCCTCCTCCCCGCCACCGCCGCCGCCGCCACCGAACCACCACCCGAGTCGCGGCGTTCTTAGAAGGAACGCAAAGCATTTGCATTCACGGGGGAGACCACCGCATAGATCCTCGGACGGGATCCTCCACACGTTCCGTGCTGCGTCGACGCATTCTTACCGAGCGCCTCAAAGTTTCACCGCCTTTTCGAAAAATCCCAGAAAGAGAACGATCCCCTTAAACGTCCTTTGGTATACATAACGAAAGTAGCTCAGATTTCTTTTTTCCCGTGGGTTCTCTTGACGAGAGCTCCGAAAACAGGGATCTCGTTTGCTTGTTCGGTTCTCGAGCGTTCTTGGCCGCGATTTTTCTCGTTGCTAACGGAAGGGAACCATCGGACTGGCCCTTTTCTCTTTCCGTTGTTGGAAGACATTTAAAGGTCTGCCGAGGTTTTTAACGGAGGTACGCCAGCGTTTACAACGAAAGTTAACACTTTGCTAGCGTTCGGACGAGTAATTGAAGTTGACAATGCTATTTGTTTTCGTAATATTAGTACTATATATTTATCTCATCCGAGCGAGTGTTCACTTAACCTATGAATTCCGTTTCCCTGGCAAGAGGAAAGATGGATGTTTCCACTCGGTCGATCCAATTTTTGGTTATTCTCGATGCTGCCCAACGGTTACGGCATTCCCCAACGAGCGAGAAAGAAACGAGTTGCGAGCAAACGAAAGCTTCGGTTGATAAGGCGCGACGGGGAGAGAGGGGAGGGGTGGTGGCGGCGGCGGCTCGGAGAGAAAGATCGCTGGAGGTTCGTTTGCGTGTGGTCGTTTATGGAAAGACTGGAATCGCGACGTGTGCGTGACGAGTATATTGCTGTACAAGTACAAATTCGTCGGTACAATAAGTCAGTATCTGATTATAATTTTTACTTCGTTCTTTTGTAATTCGTTAAATGTTACGTAGTTTATTAACACGAAATAGAAGGGTATCTCGCGTCGAGTCAGTTCCAGACTCAGAATCTGAGTGTTTTTCATTTTGGTCAAATTTTGACGAATAAATTTAACGTTAATGTAAAGTTTAATACAGTTGAGGTTTAAATGGTACTTGTTTGAATAAGATGCACAGCTTTCTTCTCGAACGTCAAGCTTCAATTTGAACAATAAATGAATATATTAAGCAAAAGTTATCGATAACGTTGAACGCTAGATTCTTCAACTAATACTACCAGAAATAAACATCGTTACTCCCTATAGTTGGAATTCTCCAAGTTTGTCCAATAAACGACACACCGGGGAACAGTTTCCACGCGGCGGCAAAGTGGGCGTTCTTCTCGGTGAGCAGGGATGCGGCGAACTTGGTCGCCGGAATCGTTTTGCTTGGTTTTTTAACGGTCGCGTCGCGAGAATGACGAAGAGAAAAATAGACGGAGACGCCGCGTGTATACGTGTACGCGAATATCGACCGTTACGATAGCAACAGTACGAGAAGGAGGAAGATAGGGAAAACGCGAGGGACGAGGATCGCGTTGATTCGGTCGTTCTCTCGCCACGACTTTTTTTTACATGCTGCATCTCGATCCTCCCGCAGATCGACGATCGTTTCGAAAACGAACCGTTGCTGTCTGCGATCTCTCGATATTTCGGTCAGGATTTCTTGCTCGGATTCTATGTTGATTCGAGTTACGGATCAATTTTGATTGTTCTTAATCAACTCCCGTTACTTCCAGAGGCTTTCTAACCGATACGATAACGCTGATATCGCGTGGTTTACGTAAGCCGAGGAGTTCTGTATTGCTAGGATGGTAATGAATTTGATTTAAATAATAAATTAATAGAAATATACAATAATCCGATTGTATAAACCAATTTCTAATTTTCTATTCTACGAACTAAATAATGATAGTAATACTTTTCTATTCTTTTACAATACCGTACTCTTCCTGATATTCCTACCCAATTTTCTGCGATATTATAATTAAATAATTGAATATTATCTATCACTGATATCACCGTCTAAGCTGCAGCTCAATTGCTACATCTTGTTTTACATGCATCTACCACTGTATAGTTACGTAACAAAGACGTTAAGAATAGACCTTTACATATTTATGCCCAGCGGCTCCGTTACTCGTGTGCGAGTTGCTTCGGTGGTATTATGAATCTTAATTGAGCGGAATGTTATCGTTACAGAGGTCCGAAGAGAACAGACCGAGAGACGGGAAAAAAGAGAGAAGAGGATCGTCTATGACACACCAGGATGAGATTACTTAAGAGCGTTTGGTCAACGGTACGGTCGCAAGTTACAGGTGCGAAATGTAACCCACGGAAATGTTAACAGACGGAGACAGATGAATATGTGTAGATATGCGTACAAAGCGTAATGAAATAAAATCGAATTAAATGAAATAAAATGAGAAAACGTGAAGCAGAATGACATGGAGTAGAAAAAGTGAGTAAGAAAAGGAAGAAAGAAGACGTCAGCAGGGATTACGGGGGAGGGGATAGGAAGAGGGCGCGTAAAATTGGGAATACCCAGAAAGGATGGAGCCGGTGGTAACGCGCGGGTGCAGGTTCAAGCATGAACCAAAAACGAACGTGAACGGCGGCAAGCGAGACTGACATCCGAGACGACGCGGAACCCAAGGCGGGGAGGATAAGTGGCTCTTTCTCGCGACGTTCGATGAATGAAGCTAGGAATCATGAATGGGGCTTGACGCGCGGAAAAGACGAACGTTTGTCAACCCGAGGTGCCGAAGAAAAGCAATTCTACGCGCGGCGATTTAAAGGGACCGGTCATTTCGGATAGAAAAAAAAATGTACACTTCTGGATTTAGGTCTCGAGAGTGTTTCCGGTAAATTACACTGGAAATTGAGGCTATTTAAGGATTCTATAGAGCGGTTAAACGAGGCGCCGAGGAACGAACTAAATAATGATAGCAATTGTACAAAAATAAAAATATTTATGTTCTAAATTTCATAGAAATTATTTGAAAATTATTTGAAATTACCCTCGTAGATAAAGAAGAATAGAAGGAAACACTTACCCGTCGTTGGTGCGACGATCTGGGCGCTTGCAAGGAGAGGCATCTGAAATTTGAGGAGAGGCGTGAGTCGGGTTGCATTCGAAATCCTATTTTGGATAACACGTTATCTCATTTCATCAAAACATAACTTCATAAGCCCCACTATATATCCACTCTATATATCTCTTTCATTATATACAGTTTGTAACGATAAAATCATTTTCAACCTCATTCGAATTTTGCTCCAAACCAAGATTCGTGTACAAGACAAACTATTCAACGATAAAGGAAAATCTTCCAAATAAATGTTATTAATTCTCTTTAACCGATCGGATATAAAACCGAGTTGCTCAGGGACTGCTGGTGCGCTGGTTATTTATAGCAGCTCCATACGTTGATCGCGCATGGCGCGTCTGCGACGCGTAAAACACGCGAAGGACTCGAAGGAACGCAGGATAAGGTATCGCGGCCGGAGGAAAGTGTAACAGAGTACGGAGGGTCGGTAGAGAACCGGAACGCCTTTCCTCGTTGCCGCGTCCACCGTGAAACGCTTCCGCAGGAAGTTGGCGCAGTCTCTGTGACGGACGTTATTTCGCCCGATCTACCTGCGTTGCTTTCCACCTTAGCCGATCGCACGTGGTCGTTTACGAACGCGTGCTATACGAGTCGGTGGCATCGATCGGGTTTCGCGGACATCGAGCCACCGAGAAGCTTTTTTTTTTTTATTCTTGGCAGTTAACCCACAGAGTGAACCAGGCTTGCCTCGGAAAGGAAGAAGAACGACTTCCATTGCCAATTTCTATTTCACCTCTCGAGGTATGCGCCACCTCAACGACACGTCCCATCCTGCCTCGCCCTTTCCGCGATAGGAAGGTTACACAGAACGTTGCGATTACGGTTAACGGCGACCGACTAACCAAAACCAGGTAAATGCGGAGGCCAAACAGCAACGGACGAGAATCAGATTAAATCGGATAAAATCTGTGATTCTGCTCGTCCCTAAGATATCGTTTCCGATAGATGCTACTTTCATATTTATTTATGTTGTTACAAATAATTCGTATTCTTAATTCTAAGATAAATATTCTATGATACCGGTAGCGAAAACTAAAGGTGTAGCGGGTATTTGTTACACGAGGGTAAGAAGAATTTTAAAATTACTCGAGAAGAATTGTTCCTCGGCTATCGCGTGTATCATTGTGTCGACACTGATGGCGAAGCATTTAGAAGCGTAAGCATGAACCGGGGCGATGATGACACTCTAATTTAAAGGCTAACGAAGATAATTGCGGTTATCAAGCTTGCGAGGTTACCCGTGACATTTTCATGCGTGGAAACTTCCGGTCGTTGCGAGTTTCTTCTCCAACGATCAAACTTGTTATCCGCGTATTAGCACCTAAATAAACGATCCACGTTTTCTTGCAAACGATGAAAAATCATGCAACAAGCTTGGCACTAGTGGATTTTAATTAGAGAATTCTTTGAACGCGCCCATAGCGTAGTTTGCTGCGAGAGAACCTTCGCGTTGGCGTGACCCCGCGTGGCAGGCGAGACGAACCGTCTAAAAAACACGGTGGTTAAATATATATACCGGCAAGAGAGAAACTAGGGTGAACCTGGGGTGAGTCTACGGTACCAGAGAGTACTGGCACGGGAATAACCGCCCTACGAAATCTATTTTCGACGTGAAAATCTGTTCCATAAATACCAATTACAAACGACCAACGTTCGTCGCGCGTACGAGATTAGAATACAGATGCTGCGAACGGATGCGCTGGGAGTACGTTACCAAACGTAACGTACAACTAACGCGAGCGTGCGTGCACGTACGTGCTCGCTATCGTCGACCGCATGTGCCGCGATCGATTGATCGTGCGTGGCAAATTCTGTACGACGACACGTGACAACGCACTTGGGAGGCAAAGGTGTGGCGAAATTCTTATCTAGGCACGAATTTCGAGTACAATATTTGTCCCACAGGGCGCATTGACGCGCATACGCGTCAACAGCATTTTTCTTTGACATTTTATTACACAACAACGTAAACAACAACTCGAGCGCTGTTCCTAACGGAACCATTGAAGATAATTATTAAACAATCATTGCCATCAGAATTATTGCCATTTGAGAAATTGGGCAACGTAGGGCTAATTTTACAAAAACCATTGTATCTACGTATTAAACGGAATAATCCTAATACTAAAATTTCAAGATTTAAATGCCTATCTACAGGTACCTTGGTATAGGTGGAAAAATCGTTTCACTGGCGTCCCCTGCGTAAGCAACTAAACAAAACCATGTTCTTATCGAATGTAAAGTAAAATTCGTTGGACCAGAGGATTAAGGTATCAAGAATCGTTGGCTCTGCCTTAGTCGTGAAACGATTCACAATGAATCGTTAGGTTGTTGTAACCGTTCGGATGGAGGAGATCGATCCGCCGTGGCTTGGGAGACAGGAAAACAGAGAATCCTACGACAATGCATAATGGTACGAGCCAAGTCGAGGGTTGGGGTCACAGTACGTTCCAGGGGTACCCAGCCGTACGTAGGTTCTAATACTCGCGCGGGGATGGCAAGCGTTCGGCTACACCGTGCCAGGTGGCGACTGTCGTTCCATGTGTGCTCATATGTCTGCCCCCTGAGCCCTTACTTTCCCCTCCCTAGGGGTAGACCGACCCCTCTGGAATACCAGAAGCACCGGAGACACCAGAGGCACGTTAGCGCCCCATCGTTTCCCCTGCGTTCACGCGCGAGCACTCGCTCGCCTAATTACTCCCTTTCTTAGCGCGACTATCTCCACGTCCGAACCGAACCGTTCCTTTTCAACATGGAAATTGACTATTCGTACCACGAATAGCCGAGTGCTGTCCTGGACGAATAACGTTTTTGCAAATTCAAATTCGCATCCCTTGTTAAAAGGTCTCGATTGGGCTTCGTTGTGAACGTTTTAACGAGGAATTGCTCTACTCACTTTTCTGTATTTTATTGGGCAATGTTGCAATTTACCTGTCTATCTATCACCTAACAATTAGGCGACAACCCGAGGGACAGGTAGGAGAAACCTGATAGTTGTTATTTCCCTGACCTGCGCAACATTGAATATATCGAACACGTGATCGAGTGCTGAGGATAACAGAAACAATCCGAGAGCGCAGTCCTTTCGACGAGCCTCTATCGATTTTCGAGACTCTCTTCTCTTCTCCCTCGTCTTTACTTATCGAGCTTCACCGCGAATATAAAAAAAAGGCACCCGACGGGAGAGTGTGGGTATCGATCGAGTAACGAGTCCGAACCAACGGGCGCGTGCCACCCTTCCCGACTGAATATCGCCGACGATCGATCGATAGCCTCCAACGAACATTGGAATGAGTCATTACCCACGATTAGGTAGGTGCTCGCACACCGAACAAACACACGTCCAGAAAAAGGAAGTACGTCTATATTCTTGCATTTGTACGCAATCTCATAAATTTCACCCTTTCTACGTCTCCGCTATGTCATAAAGGCTTAACATCCCAAGTCAGACGTCTTAAGAGAGTCTTAAGTAGACAAGAGTGACGAGAGCGCAAAACTGCCTACGCGGAAGGCCTAGCAATTCCAACGACTATGTCGTTGCACATGTCGCGATGCACCGAGCGCATTTCTTTGTCTATCGTCGCGAGACGCGCTGGACATGCCTCCTTCCTTTCCAGCTCGTTACCATAGGTAATGGTGGACCTGCGAAAAAGTCGAGTAAACCGAACCGCTAAGAGCACCCCGAACGCAGACGGAAACTCGTAACCGGAGCCACGAACCATGGAACGAGAGAACCGTGTATCGTGACTTGGAACGCACAGGTGCAACCTACCCCACCGTGACCGCTAGCCACCGACGAAGAATATCGTTTCTGTCGCAACCGTACGCTATCGCGAATTACTCGAGGCTCCTCGTGTCTCTTTTCTGCTTTTCTTTCGACAGTCGCCACCGGAAGGGCCCATAGGACGGGGGTTTGACAAACTTGTAGCACGCGCGATCGTAGCACGCGACAGAGTACTAAATTAAATAAATTATTCGATTCGGGGGTTCGATTGGATGTAGAACTCAAAACTGGGTCTTAATCAATTGATTGATAAAAATACGTAAGAATATGTTGAGCGCTTTACCCGTTGCTCCCTAACTACCGTTCCCAACCACTAAATGGCTACGCATTTGTGCCTTAACCAAAAGAGAACTCGCAAAGTTTGCATGATATACACATCGCCCCTACCCCCCCCCCCCCCCCCAAAAAAAACAACAAAAAATGTTGTATATTTCGAAGAACGGAGGGATGCTAGTATCTACTACGCTAATAAGCTACGATATCTAGAATACCTAACCAAAAGCATGATTTCGCTATTTTTGGAGCTCGCTATTTGTAAACAGTAGCTGATACAGTTACTGTCGTCGTTTTGTCAGCGATGAGTGTCTTATTAATCGACTGGACGATTATGTTATTCTCCGTGGTGTCTGGCAGTTTATCACACGCGGATCGTTACACGGCTATAAATGACGCTGTCTTGTTACCTCTCCGTGTACCCGCCAAAAAACGTATCCTGACAGGGGTGACGCAGGTAGCGCGGTCAGCTATCTGTTACGGGTCCTCGAAAATTCGACGAAATTAACGGCACATACTAATGAACCTAGACACGTCCTTTGGTTAGGCCCCCACGCTTTGTAATACGACGCTGGTGACAAACTAGGAGTCGAGAGGAACGGAAGGACACGAAACAGAAGTAGAGGGAATAATGGTCCCTTGTAATCGTTCCAGGGTTCGTTGTAAGGACAGTTATCGTACTCATCGGTCATCCTAATCATATTCGTCGCGTCCATAAACACGAAGTAACGAAATTTGTATTCCTCCTCGATTAAAATAAACGCGGAAGGCGGACAAGAGACGGAACACGCGAAAAGAGTGGAAGGAAGGACCGCGAAGGACCGCATGCGGCTTGAAAGCCGCAGGTTCCCCGTCCCTTGGTCTAGTACAGCGATAGGCGCAGCGACGTATGGCGGCGCGTGCATCGGTGCGTAATAAACGATAAAGAACGAAAGGCGATTAAACAAAGGTCACCGTTGAGCAAGTCACACAGCTGCTAACTAGAGGCTCAACGGTACGGTGCACCGTCGTATCGCAGACCGCGATAAACGCTCTAACATGTGTGTACCTAACGTGCTTGAACACTGCCCTCGCAGTTATTACTCGCCGTTACGAAGGAACACCGATTCCACCTCGACAATACAACTTCGCTTTGAACTTGAAGATTCGCCTGACAAGGTCACTCGCGTCCACCGGAACGTTAACGAAAAGGTACTATTTTCCTATGTTCGAGCAAAGAGGGAGCAATGTTGGCATTTGAAATTTCTAGAAGCAACGGGAAAGGGGGAAACCTTAAATCTTGAATTTTAGGCAACTTTGCATTTGAAAAATTTGTTATGTATTGGAAGATAAAGTCGCGGCAGATTTTGTCCGAAACGGAAAGTTGGAGACTTTCGAAAGCAAAGGAGGGAAAAAAGAAACCTTGGAGATGATGCTCCCCACTGGATGCTCCTGCCTTCCCAGATTGATCGAATCTGGAACGAGCATAACGGGACAAGTACAACCTTACGCAAAGCCACCCAAGGGGTTGGATCGAGAGGTCGGTTCAACGCATTGGATACCGCTCATTCGTACTTTCCTTCTCCTCGGGCTGTCCTCTCCCTCGAATTTTGTATGCTCGGCCCGTAAAACACAACGAGGGGTGGCGAGTGGTCGTGCAGCCGGCACGCGCTCAACGAATTTTTTAACTAACGGATATCGGGGTAAACGACAACGCGGGAGAAATCAGGAGCACGATACGCCACTCCCGTATAAGTCACCGGTCACTCGAACCTCTATATCCCAACGATTCCATATGGCGTCTGACCAGAATTCGGCACACTTTTATCCAGACGAGTTCTTTTATTCGTGACTCATCTATCTAGATAAGACTTTTATTCGAACGAGGTGCTCCATAAACAATACGTTGTCCGTCACTCGTCATTCGTTACTCGTTATTCAAATAAGGCGATCGTTTCTTCGAATAACGAAGACATCACATACACACAAACAATATACAGGGTGTCCCAAAAATGTTGAAGGTCCTTGAAAAGGGTGGTTCGGGGGGTGATTTGAAACAACTTTTTCCTTAGCGAAATCGTTGTCCGAGGCTTCGTTGAGGAGATATTAACGGAAAACACTGACCAATCAGAGCGCGCGTATACCGTTGGAGCGGCCGCGATAGCGATGGCTACGCGCTAGGTAGCCGCTCTCGTACGCGAACAAGTGACTCGACGTGCATCGAAGGATACTGACGCGGCCGCTCAGCGCGTAACCTTCGCTACCGCGACCGCTCCAACGGTATCCGCGCGCTCTGATTGGTCGGGTTTTTTTTCATTAATATCTACTTAACGAAGCCCCATCCGACATTTTTGCAAAGGAAAAAGTTGTTTCAAATCACCTCTCGAACCATCCCTTTCAAGGACCTACAACATTTTTGGGACACCCTGTATATACATTACATATCTCAGATACTTTGCATATGCGACGTGTGTGCGATATCGACCGTGATTTATGTACGACACATAGTGCAATAAATAAATGAACAAAACAATACGAACAATCATTCGAGGAATATCTGTTGCGAAATTCGAAAAACGGTTTCTAGCATCGATCGAAACGAACGAAAGACTCGTTCGAACGGCGGGGGGGAGGGATGGAAATTATTCGCCGCGACGAGGAAAAAAGTCGATTAGTAATTCGGTGTACAACCGTTAAAGGTTACCGAACAGAGCGCATCGTCTTTGAGGATCAGGTTGCGAGACCTGCCTTACCGGCCATACGAGAAATGCTAATACAGTATACACGAAAACCCCCGGGACCCTCGAGACCTCCCGAGACCCCGAACACCTCAAAGACCCCGTCGTGAAACCCTTTACCGTCTCTACGTTACTTTCTTCTTCCTCTCCCTTCCTTATCCGTTTCGCTTTACTTTGCCTCGAGCCTGCGCGAGAGTTGGTCTCGTCAAAATTCTTCGAGCCGTCCTTTGAATTTTAAATTCTTTTCTACCCAAAGCCACTAGCCGACAACGCATGCCACCGCTCTGCTTCGACCCTCTCCAACTCAAATTTTTTTTTTAACAGCCACAAAAACATATTTTACGCGAAATAGTTGAACATTGTTTTCCCGGTCGCGTAGGTATCGTTAACAGCCTTTTCAACGTGATTTTAGTGGATTTCCCAGAGCGAAGTATAAACTAGATAACGTTTGTTAACTTAACGAGCGCAGGCTCATAAAGGGATATGACAAGAAAGGAGCAAAACGGACACGAGTCCCTAAGCGAGGTGTTGTGACGACACAGAGAGATCCGTGAAGGTAAAACAAGATTAATCTAGCTATTTCAATAGTATCACTTTTTAATAAATAAATCTCTAAAAATTAGAAATCTAAATATTGATAACCTACGGTGCAGAGCATATAGACATAGATACAGCCCTGGGCTTTAATACGTGACTGATATCAACGACCAATTGTCCGAAGAAGATCTAAAGCTAAGGTCGAAACGTGGAAGCGTTTAAATATTTATGATTATTTTATACGCTCTGGAAAGGCTAATCATAGTACGTTAATATTGATGAAAAAGATGTGTCAACCACTGAAAGGAATGGTTTTTAGTGAGCATTTTTTACTGAGACGAACAGACCTCTAGAATTTTAATTCTGGAAGCGCAATCGTGTCTTCTATAAATTATATAATTCAAACCGGGTTCGGAATCTCAAAGTAAAAAAGTCTCGAAAATGAATCGGTGTTTCGTCCAACGTATAAGCGATTAACGAATAATGATACGACCATGCAATTTCCGTTCGATGTATTACGAAGCTACACACAGTCGTAGTGCAACTTCCCGCCGTTTCCGTAAACTATCACATAACCTTGCCAAGCACATTAAACAGTGCTTGTCAGGATGTCGCGTTGGTTTTAAAGAAGGAAGGGAACTACTATCTGCAGAAAAGGATTGGACATAGCCTTCAGGATTCGAGAACAAGAATCGATCGTTAAGTCGGTAATTTAAAAGTAAAGGTCTCTCACGAAACCGGGCCACGTGTTTGCCAGTTTTTGTTTCCGAACACCGATTGTTGTAACCGTTTTCACCGTTACATTTAGGGCACACCAGACATGAGAAAATTCTTAAATTTTGTCACGTGTCTCATAAATGTCTTATGAATATAAACACAACGAGAATTCTTACGCTAATGATCCTCGTTATTCGTTACGAATATTCAATTGTTCACTTACCGTGACACCCTTCAGCATCGTTTCTGCTACGTTTCGAACAGCTTCCCGAAAGCGACGAGTTCATCAATTTGTTAACGATTCCAGAGATTGGTGACACTAGCATCGAAGACGCTTCGTCTTGACTCTCTTTCGGACTTTCCTCACTTTCAGCGATGCACGATAATATTGTCATTCGTTGAAACCCGGACATCGTGTTCCCTCGCACTTGGAATTGTCTCTTCGTCGAACTCGAGAAGCTCCGAGATACAACTTGTCATGAATATTTTGCAAAATCCCTTTTCGATTAATGCCAATTCGCCTTCGTCGCGACCCAACGCCGCGTGCGATTGGGGCAAGGAGATAAGAAATTGATAGATGGTTGGGAGGGGAGGCGTAGAGTTCATGCGCAAGATCTTGCGTCGAAATTCGGCGATTATTACTCAAAGGCTCCTTTCGGTGACCTGTAAACAGATTTGAAGCTAATGTTAGATTATACGTTCGAGAAATTATGGTTAAGATATATTTCTAGTTGACTATTTTAATTTAGTTGTTTGAATAACATTCGATATACATGTTCCAAAATCACATTTTCGATCAGATTATTTTCAATTCGTATCATTCGACTAAAATTACCACCTAAATTAAAAGACACATCGGGCCACTGGTAACCTTAACCGACCCCTGGTATTTACGAGAACATATTTACAATGTAGTTTATGAAAGTATCGCTGTTGCCGCCGACACAGAGGACGAAAGGAGACGTTCAGTTTAATGCAATGTAACACAATGTTTTCGAACGACCTGAAGGACAAACGCAAACCTCAAACACGTGTTCCCGAATATCCCGTAGTCCTTGTCAAACATGCTATTTAGAATCCACTAAACGTTACGAGACTGTCTAGATAAAATTCTAAACTAAATTTTTCACCAAGCACATTGTTGATTTGAAGTGAGCATCTAACCACTCAAGTATGATAATTATTGAGAATGGACGTTAAGTCGAGAAAAAATGCGTGAAAACCAGCAATTCCTACCAGTGACGGATACAATTGAGGGACTAGAAGGCCTCGAACCCTTCCCTCGTTAATAAAAAAAAATCATGTATATTAATTCGATTATATTATTCCTGGGGATAGGATTCTCGAATTCCCCTACTTAACCCCTTCATGCTCGACCTGATTTTATCGCAAATGTAATGATTGCAAAAATAAAATAATTTATGATAGAAAACGATTCTGTGATTTTTTTAATCATTCTAAACAACCTTTGCAAATAATCCACATAAGGAAATAATATTAATATAATAAAATCTAATATAATAATCTGTCTCTTAACATCGAATATCGACACACTCGTCGAATGTATGTGGTTAGGTGAGCTTACACAAACGTTATCTACGATCAAAAACTAACTTAGGGAAAATGAATCAATTCGTTAATTAATGTTCAAAATTACGCTACAGCGATTAAAGAAAACGATAAATACATCGTCGTTAGTTATCCAATGACTTACCTTTCTTCTATGACGCCAATATTTTACGAATGTAACTATCAACACAGACTTAAAAAAGTAATTTCTATCGATAGCACTTTTAAATGTTTTTTTCGACGTATCAAGTCAACATACCGAAAATAACTGTCAGAAATTCGATCTTGCAGAGTTAATTACGATAATACGAGTCAAATTACGTTGACTTGGGTCGAGCTGAACAATCACGGCAGCCCGCCGAAAATCTATTATTAATGAATACAGCGCCACCTGCGATAATACAAGAGACAAACGAGGACTTATTAAACGAGGTTTTCGTAGAGAAAATGAACTAGCATTTTAACGAAGAATTATTGAACGAGGACTGAAAGGGACCAAGATAAACAGAAAAGGACGTACTTATTAAACGAAGTTTATATAATTTATTTATTTCGCGTAAAATCTCAAACATTTTTTCGTCTTTTGCGTGTAACAACATTCATTGACTATAAATTACAATAAAATATACTTATATATCCTGTATAACCAGGAAAGTAACAGCTGTACTGTAAAAAGATCATAAATATATATCGACTAAGACGATCGTCGTATGAATCTCGGCACGACAGTACGTTGAATGGAATTAATACGAAGAAGGCACTTTTGAAAATTCAGTTTCCAAGTTAGTACCAGTCAAACGATGCCAAAAGATGTGAAATCGTAGTCCACAGCATCCGTAGCATTATTAAATTTCTTATGTCTTATATTGCTTGAAATGAATATACGTGCGTGTACGTAGCAGATATAAAAATATTTTTGCTAATTTCTCAATGCACGATATATTTTTAATACAAAGATATACCAAGTGAATACTGGTTTGCGAGAACTGTACAAACCGTTAGAGTAAATACATGTCTTCCAACAGAGATGGGTAGTATTCTTATTAAAGATAAACATCTGTTTATTCATTATTGCTTCGATAAAAATATTACAGCTCGTGTTAAACGAACAAAACCTTGTTTGAGTAAATATTATTCGAATCAAATTTTGCCCATCTCTGTCTTCCAATATGTTAAAAAATATTTTTCCGACTGGATTCAGTCGGACTCAAAGGGACGGCGCGAGCAGACTTTGGTAAAGATTTCGAAGACACGATATACCCGGTTTTCGTTGCGTTTGTAACAAGATTTTTCGGTTTAGGCGGAAGCGGAGGAGGCTTCGGTGATTTCACGGGTGACGACGACTGACTATCGAAAGTATCCAAAACGGTTGTTCTAGAGCGAGACCCGTTTTCCAAAATGGTCCGATCGCCGTTCATTATGGCCGTATCTAAAATAAACGAGCCCTCTTGAGACTTACTCCAAGATTCGTTTCCACTGGCAGGCACAACGAATCGTTCGTTGATGTTTCCATTCCTCGGAGGGGCCACCGTGTCCTGATCGTCACAGTTTTGTCGTTCGTTAACCGAACCGTAAAACTTGGCGTTTGCTTCGCATTTGGCAGATACTATCCTAGGTCTTCGAACCTTGTTGCGATCCGCCGGCTTACCATTTTCCTTGTTCTGATCAGTAATTTCATAGCTTTAAGGGTCGAAACGCAACATGATAAAAGTTTCAGGGATAAAGTATATTTGAAAAATGATACGAGATATCTGTGCGCGTCATCGAATGTCGTATTGTCGGAAAGATACACGTTTTATTAATATGCCACAGAAGATGTGATCATCCGTTTACCTTTAAGAAATCTGGCAACTCAAAATTGATTTCCGTGCCTCTCTGGTCTTCCAATCTGGATCTTTGAGCTCGTTTCAAGCCTTCGTACAAATCTACGAATACAAACATGATTTACGTTGGAATTGTAGCTATTATCAGCAACACGATAACAAGACAATTTTTCAATATAATATGTTCTTTACCTTCGCCATCGAATCTCCCTGGTAATTGCAACTTTACCCCATTCCGCCACTTCGCTATCAAAGGTGGGTGAGACTTGGCAGTTTCTTCGGGCTGGTAATCGTTCACGCTACCCTTGTCGCTCGAACACTTGGACTTCCCCTTTAACATAAGAGACAGAAATAATTGGTCGTACTGTATCCACAAATTGCACTATGCAACGTATGCAATATATTGTATACCTTCTTTTTTCCATGCATCGTAGAGTCTCGAAGAAAAAACTTGCTGGGAAGAATGGAAGATCCCTCGGATCGTTGATCGTCCGACTAGACGTGAAAGCATAAAAAACTTGAAGTATGGGAAAGGTCTAGCCTTCGACATATTCTTTTCACTACTTGCTTAAACAAACAATTATTACCTTGCACGAGCCCTCGTACGGATATTTACTCGCACCTTTGCCCACTAAGAGCTCCTCGAATACCCTGTTAGTGATCTCGTCCAAAGTGGGTTGACCGTGCAGCACCTCGTGCGTATACTTAACCGTATGTAATTCTTTTTGCGGATCTATAACGGGAAAATGTTTTTTCCTGACTCGATGATATTACATTTCAATATTTACGTAAACCAAATATAAGGAAGGTTGGTAACTTTACCTTCGTCTTTTACGTTCATCAAGGTCAACCTGGCGGGAGCATCGATAGCTGGCATATTCATGCAAATACAGTGATTCTCGCTCCAAACAGAGATTGTATCTAAATTGAAACCGTATTTATTTAAAAGTGGTTTCAGCACTTCTTTAAGGGTTCTCCCTTTGTGTGCGATCACAGTTATCATACGCCGCGAAGGTAAATCTACTTTCAATATTTTCGTTGGAACGACTTCCACCTCTTGGCCAGCCAGTACCGATGATGGATATTTCGTTTCTATCGTCTAAAAGTACAAAAAAAATCCATAACTAACATTCGATTGAATGTACGTGGAATTTGTTCGAGTAGTTTGTATCCGTTACCAATTACCAAACTTCATTGGACATAGAATGTAACCATATGCTTAACACGTATGTGCGCAACTACGAAAGCTGTGCCGAAAATGCATGCACAAGAATGTATTGTTGTGTAAAAGTATAATCTGAAACGTATCTGACACCATTTTTTTCCTTTTCGTTTTTATCAAAATGTAGTTACAATCCGACAGTAGATGTGTACAAGATTTTCCATTTTAATTGTCTTACGCCATTACCTACGACGCTCGTGCTTAAAAAAAAAAAATTTCAGATCAAATCAATATTTATCATAGTATTCATCAAAACAAACTAGATCTGAAATATTTTTTTGACAGCAACCACTAAATTCGAAGATAACGGAATGGAAACGCTAAAATGGAACATCCTGTATATGTGGAGCGAGCAGTTTGATTAGGCAGCAGAAATATATTTGGAAGGAGGAAATTCGTGGTATGTAGAGCGCAGGAAACAAAAGCACGTTTCAAAAAGTAACCGCGGACCCGTGTTAATGAGACAAAATCGATTTTGTTAGTTCTGGATAGTAATTTCGAGAAGATGCGTTAAATAAATACGGGAGAACACAAACCTCGTCTGTGGCTAGGATTAGAACGTCATAGTTAGAGTATCGGAGAGCTCTTTTATCAAGGAGGCGTGTAACCACATCTTTAATACTCTCCGTTTGGCTAGTTGGCACAACCGTAGTCGATCCATCGGGTAATATTACCCGACATAACCCGGTACATTTGGCGCGAACTTCTTTCGTTTCGTTTGACTGTCCTTCGTAGGACGATAAAGACTACAAGTTACACATACAGCAGCTTTGTAGATTCGAAATTAAATGTGTATTTATTAACGCATTAGATATTATGTATCGTCTGTTTGTATCTATCATTTTTAGACAGCGCTTTTAACGGTTCACGCTTGCCATAAATAAATTTCCTTATCGCCGTTGCAATACCAAAAGTATAAACTATGTTTACAATGGATACCAAACTAACGTGTATTTCGATGAATTAACATACAGTAATCTTCGAGTAACTGCTTAATAGCGTTACTCTCTATCCGCATTTACGTAGTACGCAGAGCAAGACGATACTCACATGTTTGTGAAACGATTGCCTGAGGGCCAGATCCCATGACGCTAACGAAGATCTGCTACTAGATATAGAAATACTGTCGTCGTTGTTATTACCTTCCGCTTCTCTTTTCATTGTCGTGAAACTCTTATATATGGTTTCGCTTCTGCTAGGGGTTTTACTGTATTCAGACTCTCCACGATCTTTCGATTTGGACCTATAAACATGTTTCGATAATTATAATTGTAAGCACCATTTCCTTCTGTTCTTCTTTTTATATACGATAGATTACCATTACCTATTTTTTCTATTCCATGGAAGAATAGACTTTCTACACCGATCCTCAGCATCTGAATGGCTCTTTTTTAACTTCACGCTAGGCGAACTCGTTAAATGTAGATCGCAATCTACCGCACTTATTACGGAACTCCCTGTTTCTATACAATGACGGTATAGATCGGATCTTAAAAATCTAGGATAGCTGTCGAATTTCATCAGGTTGAAAACCTGTTTTTGAGCCTGAAAATAAGGAATCCAATAATGATTTACATGATGTCACAAAGCAAAGAATCTAACAACCCTGATAGCAACGTAGATCTTCACCTGTAGAAAAAGATTAGTGGGTGCTTCGCCAAGAAGTTCCTGAGTTATTTGACCGGCAGCATGACTGTCAACGTTCACAGGTTCAGCTGCAGTGTTCGACAAGTGGCGTTGATAAATTTGATTAGCCAACTTGCGCCGTGTTGTGACATCCTTGGTATCTTTATATCTTTCGCAGGCAGCCCAAAAGTAGATGTTTTCATGACTGAACTCCTTCTTTAAGAACTCCTATAATGGAAAAAATTAATATGAAAAAAACCATTTGGGTAAATGTTGTAGGTTTATGTTTCTAAAGAGATTTCAATCTTACCGCAAAAGTTTGCAGGCCTTTTGGGTCCTCCAGCAATTTCTCGAAACCACTGGCCCATGCATGGATGCTCTTGCAATCGGTGTTTTTGTCGCATAATTCTGTGCTACCGTGCTGCGTTGAAGAAGCATTACAAAATTTTACCTCGTTGATTAACATCGTTACCCAGGATTAAACGAGTCATAGGGGGAACGTTCGAGCGCGTGCGCGGTCTCGTAGTTATGAATCTTATTTTTAAGTATCGGTATTGAGTATTATAAATTAAAAGGAGTAGACAAAAATAAATGCTCATCGACGTCTGCTTATCGATGTTTACGATACTGATTTCATCGTTAACGCAATTTCATAAAATCGAAATCCTTCGAGCAAGGCAAGACGGAGGCGTGTCTGCACGTTCATTCGTGTATGTGCAATATTTACTATATCTACAGTGGCGTAACTAAGAATTCAAGGAATTCCAACTTTGTGCAAATAAAGAAAAGATTATAATTTCGAGGAAGAGTCCCAGGTTTACTAGTTACACCATTGGTCTAGCTACATATACACGGTCATTTAACTCAAAAGTATAACAAAAAATGTATGACTCAACAAATTTCGAATCATAAGGATATCGTACAATGTAATTGTGAGGAGCATTCAAAGTAAACAAAGGGAAAGGAACATGCATGTTTCCTTTTACGATTCTCACCGATTATATCAACCGGACGTTTTCTCTGTGTGTGTACACAGATTTACGTGCAAAGTGTATAAGGACGATGGAAACAGCGTGAGAATGAAGAATATTCTCACATACTGAAATAAATGATTTCAAAGTTTTCTCGTCTGTTTCATTAAACTACACTAGAGTATATATATATATATATCTCACTTAAATATCGCATATCTTTTAATTCTAAAATGTATTGTGATCGTAATTAACGGTAATTTTGATACAAAAGCAAAGGTACAGACACATGTCGATATCCGAAAAATATTCGAAAGATTAACGTATGTACAATTAGTAGTTATCAATTAGTAACATTTTTTCTATTACGATAAAATATTCGAGGGAAAGAATTACCATCCCTAGCACGTAGGCCCCAGAATTGGTAATTACACCACTGGCGGAACTCGAGCAATTAAATTCTGTCACTCCTCGTGACCGACAAACATTAAAATAATGTGATGCTGATTCAAGAAAACTCTAGGAAGAAGATATGTCATTGTAATTCTTAGAATGATGGTAAAACGATGCAACACGTATCATCGACTTTGCGTTGTCGACGATGAATTATTAATTGTTTCGTTTGAATCTCGCTTTCCTAATCCGTTCGTAAAGCAAACAAAACGGGATATGACAGCTTCGCGTTCCTTAACTGGTCTAGTCTAACCAAAGAATAAAGTTTGAAAGGTAACGATTAAAAATTCCCACAAGTAATGAAAGAAAGTTTACGGCGGAGTTGCGATCCAAGAGAACAATATCGACCGTGTTGTGCCCCACGTACCGATTTCACCACGGTGTCCATGTCGTGACCGAAGATCGTATTCCTTCGTATAGCCGCGCCACGATCCCATTTATCGCGGGGAAAAGTAAAAAACGCTGGGACGAAAATGATTGGTTTACGAAGGAATATCCTCGAATAGCCTCTAAAGACTATGTTGCCCTGAGAGTCCGTAATAATAAGGGCTCCGCCCAGTTGCAACGATGCACCGTTGACAATTGTGATTCCTCGCACACGGTGTCTGTTCAACTCGGTGGTCGTAACACGGCGTACACGCAAACACAATCGCCAACGATCGACAACGATCGATTCGCCACGAGCACACGGGCTCAGCACGCCGCACCAATACGGTTCGATCGATTAATTCCTCCAAATTGCGAGTTCAAAGATCACCGTGCGTTAATCAGCACCGTCGTAACCGTTACGATCAACGTCACGTTCATTTCGTGGCTTAACATGTCACTCTCGTGTGCACACTGCTGCGAAGCGTGTACTCGGCCCCGTACTTCATTTCCTTCTCTCTCTCTTTCCCTCTCCTACTCGATTTACTCGGTCGGTCGGTTGATCCCTCGGTCCCGTCGGTAGCTCGCTCTCTCGTTCGCGCCAAGCTCAATCTTTCATTCACTCATCCGCTGGGTCCAGTGATTCTTAATCTTTCCAAGCTCTCGCGACACACTTCACAAAATTCTTTATCTTTTAAACAACACATTTTCGGACAGATAGAATATTAATCATCTTTTTACCATGGCAAGTAATGTTTTCCTATCTATTATTATGTAAATATTAATCTAATAGATAAACGTAATAGATAACATTGAAATAGAAAAAATTCCATAATAGATTGAAAGATACGAATTACACATATGTGATGAAAATTGAACTCATTGTTCGTTACTGTTTCAATAAAAATTGGAATTTCAATGATGTTATATCTCACGTTGAATCAGTATAAATTTATTCGAGTCGTATTTTGCCCATGTTTGTGCCACAGTGGTTAAGAACCACTGGCTTACTCGATTCCTCTCTTGCATTCTTCCCCTCGCAGTCCAAGGTTTCATAACCCCCCTCGTTTCTCTCATACATACAGTAAAACGCCGATTATCCGAACAACCGATTATCGGAACACAAAACGGGACTATCTTTATGAAACCACAAGCCTTGCACCAACACTGTTTACATTTTGATACCTTATATGTAAACAATTTTACTAACCTCCACGATATAGTATGCTTGCTATTCAAGTGTCCCATTTTAGTGCCCTACAAATTCTAGATGGAAATGAATAGATAAAATTACACGTTTCACGAGTGACACGCGAAAAAAAAGATGCTGAAAGTGGAACGTTAATTAAACGTTGTTCACGTTTGAACAGAGGCGTCAGTCACGAAAATCTAAAGCTATTTTGTACATTTTTTTAGCTCTAGTAGCGCTTGAATTGTTGTATTTGGTATTCAAATAATCAATGTTTTACTGTGCATCACGTACCTCTGCATTCACTACTTTATCCTCGCGTTCTTTTATACGCGACAAGGGACACGCACAGACGCATTCAATTGTAAATTCTCTTCTTCCTACTTTTTCTTCGCGTCTTCGAGTTATAACTGGATTTATATACTACGCGCTTCCATCTCCATTTACATCGTTATACGTACACATATACTTTTAGTATTTAGTGACTATATATGTATACGTATAACAATTTTTTCTCTACACAAGCTACTTTAGAAATTGACCATATCAAGAGTATCACACATTTATACAACAAACCACGCAAGTGAAGGACTTTTGTGAATTATAAAAAATCGTGAAGACCTTACCAGACAAGTATCTTGCGCGCAGGCTCCAACGTTTCGAATTTCCTGCAAGCTTCCCCAGGGTCGTGAGTTATCCGATTTATCCGAATACGTTTGGCAGAGTGGTCGAGCATAGTCCATGCTCGCGTTAAGATCCTCGAAACTATGCACTAAAGACTTGGAGATACCGGAAAAGACTTTTGGGCTAAATTTGTCCCGCGTCTCGGTTTCTGTCGACTCCACTAATACTGTAAATGGGAGTAACCGTTTCGATCTGACTATAGAATCATCGGATGTGTCGATTGGATCCTCTATACCGTGCAGCATCGCGGTGGTGCAAACGGACGCGAGAGAACCAACGGACGAACTAACCAACCCCTGCTTAACTGTAGAGGCAGATGGTAATGGACAGGTGGGCAAGTCCCCCCTCCTCGTTCCCTTTTGTACATCGGAATGCACCTCGTGATTCTCTATCGTTGCCATGTACGTATTTATTCCCTCGCAAAAATTGTTAAAAACGACTCTTTCACGAGATAAATCCCCGTTTATTTTACACGCGTCCGAATCGTTTGTTTCGTTCCAGCATGCGTTAGACACGGCTCGAACCGTTAATCGAAAATCGACGGCCTCGTTACCGTACGTTCTCGACGGATGTTCACACGCATCCTGAAAATATATATTCATTTAAGGAGAATTCTTTTAAACGGACGGCCGTTAAAGCGATTCATTTTATTTTTTGTTTTCATTTACATTTTCGAATATGTTTTCTGTGGTCATTACGAAGTCGTTACATTTAAGGAACTTTAGGAATTGTTAGTCAAGTACGATGGGAACAAAATTGATTCTTCTTTTAAAAATTTTGTACTCTGATAGGGAAACCTTAGGAACGGGTGCAAAATGTACGAGACAATATGTTTAAAAAAATTCTAGAATAATAGGGATCGATACTCGATTGTTTTTATAAAGAAAAAAAAAAATGTATTTCGACATAGAACATTTTTAAATGTTAGGCATTATTGGCTTAATTCCGTCATATTAGCAGCGGCTTTCAGCTGAAACGATGTAATAAACAACGACTAATTATCAGTCTTAACTCTTACACGCGGGGTCCATCAAGGACCCCATCCTCATTATTCCCTTAATAACTCGTTGACTTAATTGAATTAATGCTTGCCATTTTAAGCAATCCTCTCTTTTCAATCTCTTTAATTCTGTACCCCGGTTATACATTTTTGTATGCATGCATTAAGTATATTTTTAATTACTTGCAAACACTACTACTCAAATCATCATCCCTTATATTATGCATCCAGTTCTATATAAAAAAAAACGCTCATTGCACTCCTAGGTTTCCCAAAATATGAAGTATACATTTAAATGAAAGTTTAAAAAGTTACAATAGTACAAGTTAAAAAATCTCCCGACTTATTTCGATATTAGTCATTTTAGCGATTAATCGAAACAAACGCCGTGATCAACATACCCTGTATTCTGAAACAGGACAGCATCTTCTTCGGGAGACGTTTTGTACGATATTTTGGTCTAAATGGCTTGTGCAATCGTCTTTAAAGCCGATTCCAGAATCACTGTTGCTCGAGTGAGCCGTCGAAGTACTTATGTTACTGGGCTGCGGAGATGAAGCATCTTGATGCCTCCGCATTTCGTTATAGGAACTTGCATCTGTACCAGCGGTATCCGATATATACAAAGTTTGTATAGCACCGATGAGACCATTGCAACTGTCAGGAAACTCTTGGCACACGTTTAATTCGGAAGTTTTGGTGCATGTGAATCCAAATATATTACATGCGCTGGAATGTACCGCGTGGTCGATCAATTTATAATAAATAGTGAAAACATGGCATGAGTTCGAAACGATATTTTCTTTATCTTTCACAGATTTAGTTAGTATGCCGAAATATTGCTTGTCTTGTTCGGAAAAGGAATTGCAAAATATTATTCTATAAGATGGATATTCTGCTATGACACGATTCTCTGAGTTGGTGAGCTTTATGTTTGCCACGTGTATAGTTAAGAGCACTGTGGTGGGATTTCGTTTTTCAGCTTTCAATCTTTTGATACATTTTCTCAAAACCTAAAAGCATAATTTAAAAGTACAATTTAATGAAACATGCTGAATTATACACTGTACAAGATTTATTATTCAAACTAATAGAGCTTTGTTACTTATAGTTAAATGAAATGATGTATATATTACCTGCATCATACAAGAGGGATGAAGTTGATTTGGAATATCAATGGTTCCAAGATAGCCCACAACCGTTCTATGTACTATTTTTTCAGAATCCCTTTTATGAGCAGCTGGTGGTGGAGGTGGTGGAAGAGGACTAGACATATCCCAACGATAATGCAATCCGCAATAACTTCCTTCATTTTGTGACACAGTGGATGGTCTTCCTGTTGCATCAAACATAGCACCGCTTTGCAGGTCCCGCACAACTTTGGCAACTCTACATTGTAATTGCAATGCTCCCATGTTACTTGTACGTGGTTTGTGAGTATACTTGGGCTTGCAACGTACTGTTGCAACTCCTTCTTCATCCGAAGAATCTGAGTAATAGTTCTCAGCTATTTGTAGTCTCAGAATACCCTTAGAACGACCAATTAATTGCACAACATCGTCGTGAGGCAGTCTGCTGACATTGTGACCATTGACAGATACTAAATAGTCGCCGGCACGTAATCCAGCATTTTCTGCTGGACTTCCTGGCACAATGCAACTCAAAATACAAGGTTGCTGTCCTGAGATCGTGAAACCGAATCCTTTCGTTCCACGTAACACCTCCACTGTCCTTACGCCGTAATTCACTCGCTTTTTCTTCCTTCTGTTTTGGTGCATTCTCGTGTTTTCTTTTCATCAATTCTCACCGAATCCACCGATGGAATTATCATCGAACCAACACTTTCACAAACCAGAATATCTTTCGAACCATCCTTGCCCAGATTGCGTTCAGTCTATCCCTTCAACTTCCTCGAGAGATAATTAGGTATTCGAAAATCAAGCGACTTCCCTTCTCCGCTTTATAATCGCGTACGTTGATCATCGATAATTAAATTCCATATAAAATTCGTCGTTGTCCGTTTACACTACGAATCGCGACGGCGTTCTTCCTGCGTTCCTGCACCTCTTTCTCCTACACGCTATATATCACTATCATCGCGATACTACAAAACACGCTTTCGAATATTGCCTTCCTATTGTGTGTCTTTCAACATTTTTATATTAAAATTTTCTCTTGCAAATTATCTTATGGATCGAAGAAATGGAAGCAGTTATAAAATGTTTTGATAGTCGATTTAGTCCTTTTCTTCTGCTTCCATCCTTTCACTCCCTCCACTTGTGCCTTTCTTTCGTTTACATCATTGTTTGTACCTACATATATCCATCGATTCGCAGACTTCCGGTGTATAGATACATGTTTCGACAAAAATTCTATTCAACAGGAATTTTACGATAACAACCATATTTTCATTATGAATAACGAATGGTCTATAATTTTATGGTTTCTTCCAGTGGCACATTGTGCTATAGACAAAAATGATGGTTCTCTAGAGTCTCGAACGTTGGAGTCCCAAAGACGAATATTTCAAAAAATGTTTATTTTTTATCTGTTTCATTTGTTATTTATTTATAAAATACAAAGAAAAAGTCCGTTCTTTTGAAATACTTTGTTGATATAAGCAAATATTCACATCGTTCAATTGAGTATGTAATTGAAACTCGACGAAATAAAATCAACAGTAATTCCGAAAGTTCCAAAACGTATACATATAAAAATGACAGAATCTATATCAATTACTATTTTGTGCTATCGTTCAACGCAAGATAAAGCTGTAAACAAAACCACGTGACTTATGATAAGACCAAAACTCCGAACTGTTGTCTTTTAAGTAAATACAGATTCAATTGAAATTGTATAAGCTACTGTGTATAATAGTTAGAGTTCTGTAATAAAAATGACAATAATAAAATATGTAAAGATATAAACAAAAAAATAATGAAATTAAAAATATTTTGGTCCACCGTGAATCAACTTCATGATACATTCCTGACTAGACGTCGTATCAACATGGCGGACCAATGGAAACTTGGTCACATGACAAATGCGTTTACGTTCGACTACCTCCTCGTCCAATAGAATCTAATTATAAGAAAACCCTCATCAACGCGAACCAATGAGATTCCGACATTTTGAATCCATTCTCTTATGTTGTTCCATTCCTTCCCTTTAGGTTGTTCAGACAATAGATTGTGTTATTACATATAGAAACACGCAAGTGTCTGAAACATGTGCAAATTTTTCCATTTCTTAACCTATTAAAATTTGTAAACCACGTTTAAGATCAGTGTTTATAATTCTTGTAATAGTTTATTTCTACGAAATATTATAAATGACATACTTCATAATTGTACTGTGAGTGTAAAATAAGTTAGGTTATCCATTCAAATTCAAATTGTTAAAAGACGAAAAACATTGACGATGAAGTCCGATGAAATTATATGGCAACGTGTACCGAATAATGTCGCAAGCAGAATGATAGGTCAGTCTTTAATACATAAATTAATACCATGTAGAAAGGTACAACGAAGGACCAAGGCAATGAATACAGCAATAAAACATGCTCAGAAATTGAAAACCTACAGTACATATATTAAAATGAGGACTTCTGTACTAAGAGATTTATCAGAAGATAGCGACACAGATGACAATATTAGTTTCACAGAGGATGACTACAGTATTTTGTATCAATCCGATTTATCTTTTAAAGACTATATGACAAGGAGGTCTATAGGAAATGTGGACTACTCCAATGCAGCAGAAATGGGTGTTGAAGAAAATAATGTTGTTTCTAACATGGTAAATGGAAATGAAAATACCAAAAAGCCAAAGAATAAGAAATCTTCCAGACTTGTGAAATTAGGTTGGCATAAAGTTGTTAGGAAAAAGAATACAAGCATTTCTCCTTCTGACAAAACATATAGTGATACATGTTCACCTAATAGTTCAGTTTATTCTCAAAGAGTCAGTAGACAAAGAGATGAGCATGACAATTTAAATGAATCTAATAATAATGAATCCTCTGCAACTTGTATCAAGAAAGATACTCCAATCCAAAAGAGTAAAGTATTGAGGAATAAAAAAAAACATGACTCAGAGAAAAGTATAGACTTACATATTAAGACAACAGATTCCAATAAGGTAGAATGCAGTACTACTACTCCAAGAAAAAGAAGAAGAAACATTAAGTCTGTGGGAGAAACAAATTCTATAACAAATGATATCAATACAGGATTTCAATCAGAAGAAGGTTGTGCAGCAGGAAAAAATATAAAAGAAAATTTGATACCTCTAGAGATCAATGACAATGTAGTTCAAGAGAATAACAAACCTTTGACAAATGCAGAAATACACTCAGATCAGAATCATTCTGATTGTCCTGATCAACTTTCAATAAATCAAGAAAACAAAAATGGCAAAAGTTATCAAATTCAATCTTTGCATGTTGGCAGCACAAATCAACCAAAAGATTCAGGCATAGAAGAAGATACAGAAGAAGAATTTCCAGAAAACAAAATGTGTATGGAAATAAAAAAAGATACACAAGAAACTTGCCAAAGTATGCAAATTACCTCTTCTATTGTGGATGTTCAAAGTAACTCTGAGGTAGAAACAAGCTTGACAATCTGTGATGATAAACAGATTGATCATACATCAGATAATCATGATTTATCAGAGAAAATGGTGATTGATGATCATAATGATTCAAATGAAACTATAATCGATAGTCATGATACATCCGATAAAATAGTATCCAGTACACATGATGCATTGAATGAAATAATATCAGATAGTCGCGATACACCAAAGAAAATGGAACTTGATAGTCATGATACATCAAATGAAATGATATCTAATAGTCAGAATACATTAGATGAAACAATATCAAATGGTCAGGATACATCAGATATAGAGATACCCAGTGATCATAATACATCAGATGAAATTGATATTCAAGACACAACATTATCTACACCTAAAAATGTAAAAAATAGCAAAGAGAATCAGGACACACTACAAAGACAGAGACTGCAACCTAAAGTTACTCATTCAGAGATCATTAAGAAGAGGTACAGAATCATTTCATGCAATGAATCATTACCAAATGATTGTACAGACACAGAATTAAACATGATATATGATAGCGACGAGGGAATGTTGAAATCTGTGGAAGCAGGTGAAAACATCGATGATAGTATGTCTCCCGTTACCGAACGACGTTTGCAGCAATTGAGGAGATTAAATTTGACTATCGATAGCGAGTCTAGTGAGGATGATGATACTTACAGTAACACAGAAAATATGAGAGACAAGTTACTGAAACGATCTGAAGCATCCTCAAGTTCATCAAGCAATGAAAACGAAAATGTAGATTTCAATAGCACAAAATTGACACAATATAAGAAACCAAAGGAGAGCAATAATTATAAAGATAAAAAACATAGAAAGGAAACGTATGCATCGCGAATTAAAACACATGAAAATTGTGTAAAAAGGAAAAACTCGTTTAATAACAAAGAATCTGATCTATCCTTAAAACTTTCAGATACTGATGACAATTTTTTCAAGCATACACATACGAGTTCTCCTAAAAAAGATTTGCATACAACATTCAATCATAGTCAGAATACTTCAGAAAAGTCTTCAAAGAGGATTACAAGTTGTCCAGATAATAAAAGCAGCAGTTCTGAACAATGTTCGAAAATCAAAGACAAATCGTTTTTGGATAATGACGAAAACGATCGAAATTTAGAAATTGAGAAAACTGTGGTTGAATGTTCAGCAATGCGCAGTAGACCATGCAATGTAAAAAATAAAAATTTTTTTTAATTTCAGCCATGCTATTTTATAGCTTCCAGTCTTTTCTGATGTTTCTTCTTTTTCACAGATAGAGGAATTCATAAAAGAGGAAAACTTAGTCAATGAAATAGGCGTACCTTCTTTTGTATTTAAAGATATACATGAAGATGATATCTTTCTCTTAGACATTCCATCTATGGTAAGTTGCATATGATATACATTTTCTTACAAAGTTACTGGAATCACAGCATAGTATTGCATTACATACAGGTGGTTGACACACAATTGATAGGAAAGAAAATAGTCTTAACAGAAAAAAAATTAAAGCTTGGAAACCACAAGTACAAAATCACATTGAAAGATGTAGATCACTTATCCTGTGTCTTTAGTACTGGTAAATCTCGAAAGCCCTATAAAACAGGTATATACTTCAAAAATTAATGAGTTCATTTTAAATTAACATTCTTTTTGGCACATAAAATTTACTTAATTCTTTTTTCTTAGTTAATATCAAACCAGTGACGAGAATCGTGGCACGCCAAAAGATATTTGAAGAGCCAGTCTTGAAATCAAATCAATGTACAAACGACGTAGTAAACTATATCGAAGACATCAGCGCAAGTGAAACTAATACAGTTTCTATAAAGAAACATCATAAGAGCAAGCATAACCTTTCGTTAAAAAGAAAGCGATTGAAAATGATTGAATAAAAATATACATGTGAAGCAACAAGACTTAAATTGAGGGACAGATGTGCCATTTACTTTTCAAGTATGTTTATACGAATGACCCCATCCACCTAAACATTTTCAAATAATGCAAACCTATTCAATTTATACGTGATGTTTAAGATACGAACATAAATAATAAAAACCTTCCTATGACATTTGTTTAAAATTTTACATTAGTCGCACAAATACAAGTTTTTTTTTTTTTAAGTGTAACTTACACGACGTCAGATTAATGTAACGTTTGCGTTAAATTTCCACGCAGAAAGAAGTAGGCAAGAGAATATGAAACCACTTTTTATGTCGAACGATCTTTCGGCGCGAGTAATAGCGAGCTAATGGCTGCGAACATGTAATAAGATTTTTCGATATAAAAAGTGGGTGCACCAATATTTCACCATTGTGTCCAAAAAGTTACACTTCTAACTTCACCCACTTTTTATATCTAAATAATTATTTTCGTTAATTTTGATTGCAAATAATATTCGAAGCAATTTGTACTTTTACAGCCTTGAAAGTTTTTAATCTCTTTCAAGTAAGATTCGAAAATGTCTAATCGTCACGTGCAGTCGACTGGCGACGGTTGTTACCGATTAGTGCCGAAATCAAACGAAAATAAAGTAACCAAGTAACAGCTGTGTCAAGTTAAATTTCGCTGCTGCAGCAAGATAAATGTGTTTTTGATGCTGTAGATCGTCGATAAGTGTTAATCATATTGGTTTTTCATATAATTACACCTTTATTTTATGCAACTCTCAAGGAATACAATTTTCAAAAAATACTTCGTGAGAGTGCTTGTTACGAGATAACGATTGAAAGTAACTGACGAAAAGATAACATTTATATAGAATTGATGCGATTGTCAATTGTAATTACATTTCCTCGCAACCACTACGACAGTGTGTCAGTATATATAAATTGTAATCGATTTTGACCATGGTTACTACTTCAGTTTGATAAATTCGATATTTCATTCCCGAGTGTCTATTAAAGATTTAAATACTATTTTAAAAGTGGTTTAATGCCAATTACGAATATACACAAAATGACTAGTGCAACAGTGAAATTAATAGAAGAAGATGTAGAGAGTGGGGGAAAGGAGCAGGATATGGATGGAATTGAAAATGACTTCGCTTTCAATAACAGCGTTCACAATGCCAATATCAACATACGATTAGGTAATTAATTACTTTCATTAGTTGAATTAAATTTAGCTTTAGAATGATCATAATTAATTTAAAAATCATCTTATTCTTACTGCAAACAATTTGTTCTTTAATTTATATTCCAACAATACATCTTATAGGTTTTCTCCGGAAGGTATATGGCTTGTTGAGTATTCAACTTTTAATGACTGTAATGATAGCTACAATACTTATGTCATTTCAAACACTTAAAACTTTTATACAAGAAAAGTAAGTACTTCTCAATGATGTTTGCCTTTAACACAGTATGTTCCAATAAAAACATTTATTTCTCAATTATTTTAGCCCTTGGACATTAATTTTGTCATTTGTCATGACTATGGGAACTCTGATCGTTTTGTTTGTAAAAAGAAGAGATCACCCAGTCAACTTGTTACTGTTGACTTTATTTGTAAGTTTAGTGCTGTCTTTTAAGAATTCTTTTATTGATATAAAACTATAAATAATTTATGATTTTAATACAGACATTGTCAAAAGCCTATACCATTGGAATACTGGTGTCAATGTATGATGTTACCACAGTTGTGCAAGCACTATTCATAACATTAACAGTTACAGCAGGATTGACAGTCTACACATTTCAGAGCAAGAAAGAGCTATCATTCTCAACTTCTGGGTATATTTCTACTCCTCTTTTCTTATTATTTTAATATTTATCACGATTTTGAAAATCTGATGTTCTACTTATAGGTTGTTCATTGGCCTTTGGATCTTATTGTTGGGTGGTATAATGCAAATATTCCTCCAAAGTACAATGTTGGAATTGACATTGGGAATTGCTGGAGCAATAATAATGTCTATGTTTATCGTTTTTGATACCCGCTTGATAATGCATACTCTCTCTCCAGAAGAGTATATATTGGCCACTATCAATATTTACCTTGATGTAGTTAATTTGTTCGTGTACATTTTACGAATACTTGCTGTTTCAAAACAATAGACTTTAATTTTTATACTTATCTTTGTTTCTATCGCTATATGTTACTTCGATTATCTGAATGCAAAATTTTCGATATGAAATTTTGTTTAACTTCAGCTTTAAGGATCTAGCACGTTGTGTTAAACTATCAAAGATCAAACACGGATTTCAATGTTATTTTTATTGAAATACATAAATGAAATAGTCTAAATTTACGAAGTTTCCATGGCTGCTGTCGTATCTTCTGTGTATTTTCCTTTGTCCTTGCCCAATGCTGCAAGTCTGCCTTTACTTCTTCTGTCAATAATCTTCTTGCGATCTTTGTCCATCTTCAACTTTACAATAACAGTCTATAAAAAATAAATACTATTAGAAGACAGTTGGAACACATTGTAACAATAAATAACAGAGTAGTAATATCAGTGCCAATTTCTCTGCATCAAAGAGACTAAGTTAGACAAATTCATTAATCTACAGGAAAACCCTGAGGATTTCTGGCATTATCTAACCGTGTGTCTCTATCTACGTGAATGGTTTAGATCATCATTAAAATTAACGTAAAATTAACGTAAAATTAACGTCATGTTTGAGTCGTAAAGGGTTGATCAATTAGATTTATAGAATAAGGAAGAAAGTGCTTCTTACCTTGGATGGATCAATACCAACATACACATTAGCACTGTTAGCCTTCTCACGTTGTATTCTTTCAATGTAAATGACGAATTTCTTTCTGTATACTTGGACAACTTTGCCTACTTGTTGACCCTTGTAGTGACCACGAACAACCTTCAAAAAGAAAACCAATTTAAAGAACGATTCTACGAACACTATCTTTCACGATTGTTTGCGAAAGTAAATTAATTACCTGGACTTCGTCCTCCTTGCGAATAGGCATCGAACGAACATTGTATTTCAAACGAAGTTCTTTAGAAAGAGGAGCTGACATAAGCCTCCTACGAATATGTGAGGGCGCCGTGAAGTGCCTTTTTCGGTTTTTTCTCCGCGAGGAGGTGACAAGACGGTTAAATTTCATCGTTGCTGGTTACCTATATCAACAAATGTACACATTAATATAATTTAGAGTCAACAATAGCAAGACACTTTTTTGATACACGACAGCCACCTCACGTGGCTCTTTCACACACAAACACAAAACAGGTTAACTCATTGTCACTAAAAAATATTATTATTATTCATATTTTAACACGAAAAAGATATATTCATTAGGATATCAGAGGATGAGTAAGATAATTCTAATACAAAATACGCAATGGAAATTGCTTATTTAAGCTCGATTCCAACCGATTCGGATTTCAACAAACTCACCGTTGACTGTCGGTACCGCAGTTACAACCGGAAGAGCATTTAGGCTGACATACTAGCGCCGGAAAGACAAACTTTCACATCGAATCATTCCATTGGATGGTGAAGTTGGATGTAAACAGAGCGTGATAAAATTCCAATAGTCCTCTACGTCGATACGACGATCTCCATTACTTATTTTAATATATTTTTATTATTATTAAGATTGTATAGCTAAATAAAATTATAATTTGTTCGTTATTATTTATATGTACACATACAGTGATTGACTCATTTTCATTGGTCGATCTCATATCAGTCTTGATATAGTTGTTTCATGTTTACCCTAGATTTGTCTAGTTATCTACTTTGAAATCTTTCAGGAATAGGGAATTTTAGTTGACGAATCGTTCTCTTCCTTGACACGGCAACAACGTAATTGTAATTATGTTCCGAGCTTGTGTCACTCGTGAATAGTGGACGATTGTATCGTTTCGGAATCGCGGAATTACCGTTTCCAAGGTCTTGTAAAAATATCGTAATTATGGGGCTATTAATCTTACGGAAATATTCACCATGCCGTAAAAATCGAGTAAGTACACAGTCGACCAGTGTACGCGTCGTTTCATCGAGGTAAATATTTTGTTTATACTTGATGTTGAAAGACAGTCGTCGCGATATGGAACACTACGAGTATCTTGGTAGGGTTCCTCCTATTTAATCCGTTACTCGTCCCAAATACTACGCTACGTCTCATTTATATCTCGCGACGATTAAATCGAGCGGTATTTTTCTATTTTCTTGTTCGTTTTGTGTGTCTATCATATGATTAAATATTTGTAGCGCGTTTCAGTGATCCCTATTTAAAACTTCCGTGCACTATCCGAGTCGACGTAAAGCGCATCGACAATTGTGGACAATTGTCATTTTACGCGTAGAATACCCGCATATACATATAAGCATATAAACGCGTCTATACCCTGATATATCGACCCGTGCAAACGTATATTGGCTTAATAAATGTGATTTGCCATGAGTCGATCGCATAAATAGAAAACTCGGTTCTAGTTGAAGAGGACACTGGGAGGAGGGAGAGATGAACGTCGACTAGGTTTCCGTAAAGTAGAACTGGACGGAAATTCCCGACTAGATAATAAATGTTGAATGCGGATTAAAAAAAACTTTTGATTCATTATTCGTTTAAAATTGAAACTAGAATCCGAATGCAATAATATCAATATTACGAAAATTGTCATAGATTTTTTTTTTAATTTATGAGCTTGTCAATCACTCAAATGAATTATTAGTGTTAAGATATCAGTACTAATAACATTGATATAGATATGTACGAAAAAAGGGTTGAATGTCTCAAAAAATAAGTTCATTGACATTTCACAAAAGATCGCAAATTTATTGTCCCTTTGTTTTTACATTAAAAAAACGATCGAAGATAAAATGCAGACATAATACACGCATGGACCATTTCGTTTATGCGTAGGTCGGTAGAACAACAGGCAGGTTGATCTCTTAGAAAAGGATTCGTTCTACAAGAAGTTTTTGGCAGACACCTCTTTTACGGATAATTTTTCAACAGTATTCAAAATTCATGCATCGGAATACAATCTAACGGAAGCAATCAATAAATAAGCTGTTCCCTTTTTCGAGCCTATATCGCGGAAAGAAAACTGACGAATCACAAAATGGGTTCTACTAGGCAAGATAGATCGCTAGGTAGTGGAATATCTCTGCCACAATGGATGAAGGGAAAAATTGACAATAGGTACGTATTCTTCTGAATCTTTATAAATCATCGATAATCTTCGTAAAACTAGCGCTTGTATAGCATCAATAAATACAAAGTAACCGACCAAATAACGCTGAAATCATAATATCGATGTTACGACTATTACCGTTAGATGTCGTGCAAACGCCATTTTATGATGACGCTACGTATCGATGTTGTAACTCATAATCGATGTATATGTATATAAATATAATATCTCTATCAATAAGTAGATACACAAATGTGTTTATGCGCGATAGCGACAGCTATTGCCTACGGCGATAACGATATAATCACACCAAATATAAAGATTACTATGACGTATCCGTACGTTTTACTTCCTGCTTGTTTCCATGTATTTGCATAAATATCTGCAATCTACTGGAACGAATTTACATAATTACATTCGAAGGTGCCTCGAGCCCGTAAAACAATTAGTTTGTCGATCGAAACAATATATTATTGTCTTCGAAACACTCTATTGCGAGATCGAGTTGTTTCATTTTTCTTCGATGTATTCTCGAGCGGGTGAGAATATTTGCAGGCGGAATTTGGCCAACACGATTGGACAGCTCGTTGCACGAGCATTGCGGCCGCTATTCTTAGATCTTGGACTCATGATCGTTCACGAATTCGCCCTCGTGGTTCTGCTGTGTCGCACAGTCTTCGTTTTCGCTCTTTCTTTACTCGCCTTTACAGTATTATGTATACATATATATATATATACCGATGTGGAAAACTCGGATCGAGTAACGTTTTTTTTTTCTGCGTTCGCTCGGGCGCATGACGTACGCTATCACGCGCGTGCAAGAGCAAATCGAGTTTATTGCAAATTTCGTGGGTGATTCGCTAATAATCGAACGTGTAACACGTCGAATTACGTTGCTCGAATAACATCGTTGGCACTCGTTTGGTACCTAGATCTGGAACACAGACACGCGCTTTGTGAAGGGTAAGGTACGGATAACTCAGGAAAACTGTCCATCCCTTTACTGTACTCCTTCTCGGTCCGTATGTTCGAGTTAAAACACGATGAAAGTTTCTGTTGTACACGCGTAAAACATTTATTTGTTTAAAGATACATTCTCGAGATCAAATCTGAAAGTTTGAAGATTGATGTGTCATGTTCTTAACGTGATTGCTTTTTGTTTTGCATAGATTCGATTTCGATGAGAGTACGTTCAGCCCGCCGTCTCATGACGACAGTTTTTTCTACATACGATATCCGAAGACTCAGAGTCGCCTATCGGGAGTGCAAGAGTATCGACCGATTGACCAGGTTTTCGGCGAGCAGAGCATCTCGTCGTCAACGAGCAATGTGAAACCAGAGCAACAATTAGCATCAGACGTGAAGAAGAATCAGGAAATCGACTTCAGCAAGCACCCTTTGCCGTGTCAACCGTTTATACCTACTACAACAGCGAGCAAAGGTGCCTATGAAGAACATTTTACCTAAATTAAATGAGGACAATTCTATTCGATATTAAAACTCTTATAAATTTCATTAATCTACGTCTAATTATATAATCGTGATAGTTAAGTATTTCATTTCTGATTTCAGAATTTAAGCAAAATTCGAAAATCGTAGTCGCAAAAGCAAAGTCTCAAGGGGTGGACGATGGATTTCACAGTGGGCCAGCACTTTGCGGAAAATCGATCGTTCACGTAGCCAATCAGATGATGTCCAACAAATTCCAGAAGACGTTCACGGCCGAAACGGCCGAGGTTCCACCGAGGAAAGGCAGCAAATCTTTGCCAGCCACTCCGATAGCTTCACCTAGCGTGAGTCCAGACAGTTCGCCTAAAGCTCGTCGACGATCGAATCGCTACTTCACGGGCCCTTTTCTTCCCGATCGAGAAAAATATCAAGGCGGCTGGATCTTGGCGAGTATACTGGGACAGTCCAGAGAAATCGTACCTGCAAAAATCGACGAAGAAGACGAGACTGGCTTGGACGCGCTAGCTCCGCCACCCAGGTCGCTGAGTCGAAAGAAATCTATATCCTCGCAGAATCTTACTTACGTGGGAACCGAAGAAAGGTCTAATGAAAAATCGGCGATCTACTCGAATGTATTCCAAGCAAAACCATCGGAGTTAAGAGAAATGAATTTCTGGTCGCCAACGTCCATGTGAAGCGTATTCTTCTTTATGTTCTAATCGTTAAGCGTTTCTTCCTTTCTAGAGAAAAAGCTCGAAAGTTCGTTCGCGAGGCAAACCATCGTGTCTTCGCGAGATAAACGTTATACAACGAAAAACGAAGCTTTCTGTATTATTCTGTACCCGACGGATTTGTGCCGGAGACGGGTAGAATTTTAATGAAACGATAGATTACGAATAGAAACTCTGTATGATGATATGTTCATAGTATTTATTTGATTGAGTTATTTTTTTTTTTGTAAAATTTAATGATACAATTCTTATCGTAATTTTGATCGAACAAATATTGGATGACAAATTGTTTATCTTCTGTACTCAAAATTATTTATCTGGTAAAGCATTGTCTGTCTTTGGTATGTGAATGTGTGAGTATTGCAACTGTGTCTCTCGAGCCACACATTTCGGTTTAATTCCCAGCTATTGTAGATATTTTAGTAGCAGCATATTGTTTATCGTCGTGCATACATAGTTGTTACTTAGGGAAATCTCTCATGTGAGAGCCAATTTAGACGCTTTCGACGTTCGTAATCATTGTACTATAGATTAGTAAGGACGATTGCCTTCGTGAACGCCTTTCAAATTTGTGACAGAAGTCTGTTTTTTTTTTATTTTATTTTTTTAGAGGACATTGGTTACCGCTCTTAACTAAGTATTTGATTTTATTTAATTTTATGAATGCGAGAGAAGAATATTCTATATAATAAATGTACGTGTTGTTCGTTACGTTTACATGGTATGAGTGGGTAATAGAATGCGTAAAACAGTTAAAAAATGACCAAACGCGTCTCGTAACGCGTCTCAAATTTTGTTCAACGAGAGGCTTACATTGAAATGCGAAAGATCCTAAATTCCGCGTGAGATACGTATGTTTTAGCAGTGCTAGCGTAAACGTTCAGAAGGCAACTACGGCGGCGGAGTAACCAAAAATAAGAGGTATTGCACACTCGTGTACTATATACTTGTGTTAGTTGACATTTTTGCGTTGACGGTTGCTCGTGTGTTGGTTTTTTCAACCCTGGAAAACATAACAGGGATTACGAAAATACAAGATAACTTATTATCCAGTGATTTTTCGATGCGAGTCAGTACTACAGGTGGGACGTGGAATCTCATATCAGGCTGCATTACGATAAAAGAGTAATTCGATTCGTGTAAAGTTAAGTCTGCAAGTTGATACGATACGCGAGGGGTTGCCAGTATTGCTGACATCACGTAATTATGAGCATACAGTATTGTATGAAATTTTTTAAGGAGTTAATAAATCGGGAGAGCCTTTCAAGCCAAAAGAGTTTTCTCTGTACTAAGAGTTATCTTTTCTACCTCTTTCAGATAGTAAAATTCCTATATAGTGCTTTCTTAAAAGTCACAGTCAGCTTACTTTTTAAAATAATTCTCCTACGTTTAGTCTATGTCATTTCAAGATTTAAACGCTATATCGTCGCATCAATTTCGCTCCTTTTACTATATATTGGTCGTGTTGAACAGCCAGCGAATTTTATTTCGCAACTGGCCAGGTCGTTTATTTTTTCGCGTCAGCGAATTTATATACGCGACACCTTGCAGCGCGAAGGAAGTGGGAGGACAACGCAACGTTCGACGCCCAAAGGCTTGGATTAGGAAACGAAAAAGACGCGGTGTACCAGCTTACCAAAGTGTAATGCTTTCCTTCGCCTCCGGCTTACTTATGAAATCACAAAGTTCTTGGCCGTGCCCGTACTGTTACACTTTGCCAATGTCAATTGCGTAATTGCAACCGACCGGCCGATCATGTTCCCGTTCACTTCTCATTTACGTCCGCTCTCCTTCCTCTCGGTCTTCTCTTCCGATCTAGATCCCGATTTTTCGTTCCGATGGTCAGATAGCTATTTTCCACGAAAATCGAAACGACGAAGTTAAGAAGTTTAGACAATTTTTAAATAACCATTTCGGACGCGTGGCACTGTGTACAGAGACAAAATAGAACATAGTTTTTTTACAGGAACGTTACTGATGATAAAAATAAAAATGTATCGAGTCGTTAGTCGATGTAGCCTCCTCTACCTAGCTTCAAATACAAGGATCTCACACTTTCATTGATTTCTTTAAACAGTCTTTTAGATTAAACAAATGACAATTACTATAAGCATTCTACAATACTTATTTCTAACTTTACGTAGGTAAAGAAGATCGGTCGGTCGTTTTTCAAAGAAAAGGCCTGCTCCAATAGAATTTCTATTCCGAATTAGTGAAAATTTGAATAATTAGTAAAGAGAACTACAATCAAAGTTCACTCGTGCGATAATCAGCGAGTAAACAAACATTAATTCGAAATTCACGAATCGATAGTACAACACACCGCAGTGCCTTGTCCAAGCGGTTAGATGGCAATGGTCCTGGCGATGGTTTGACACTATCTGCGATAAAACGATTCGCGATCCTGGTTAGAGCATATTCATCGTGTAATTCTGTACGATGGCTAAACCGTAATTCTATAGCCGGGCTCAATAACGACACATATTGACCGCAATTCGAGATATACTCGCGTTGAGCAACTGCACGAACTGTCTCCCTGTACTTTGTCTTCTAATTACCGGTATGCATATATACATTTAAAAGCTTACAAGCTTACAAAGCAAAGGAAATTCGAACGAGGTAGAGGGCTTGTAGTGCCATGAAACAATAGTTAAACATTTCTAATAATATTTGGAATTGTCGGATGATGATTTTGATTGGAAAAATGTTTATTGGATCAAATAAAAAATTGGACACTTTTTGTTTAATAAATCGAAGGCATCATATGTATAACTATTGCAGTTTTGTTAAAAAATACATTCTGTCTAAGACCGTCGAAAATGATCGCAATGCGTGACAATCCTCTCGAGTTTAGGGGTATCGTGTACGCTCCAGTTACGTATACGTGACGCAACGTCGGCTCGCCATGAACCGTTTATACAATATGCCTGCCTTTGGTCGACGGACACTCGATACCGAGTAGTTTTCGGGTAAAAAATATTTCAACTTGTCCAGGTAGGGTTGCTAGAGCTCACGTATAAATAGTCAGACGGATTTCCAATATGCATTCAATTCGTTTCTGCACTTTGCTTCTTAACGGTAAAGGAAGGATCTACTCCAACTTCTCATCATGTTCAGGGTAAGTAACAGTATCGTGTGAAACTTGCCCCAAAAAATCACTATTACTATACTGTAATCGAATGAGGGTCGTCAAATAAGACTCTTTAGGAGTTATATCTCGTGAGATGACAGCGTTCAATTTCTAGACTTTACTCAAACAACTTTTTGCTGTAATTTTTAGAAAATGATAAACAATTGGGTGTTGATTAATTTTGAAATTTGTTTTTCAGTTCATGGTCATCTGTGGTTGTTTGCTGGCGGTGGCACAGGCTGGCGTGATCAGCGGAGGTTTGCTCGCAACTGCGCCCGCGGCGGTAGCGGTGCAGTCGGCGGCAGCAGGCCTTCCTCTATCCGCGGCTGCGCTCACGCTACCGACTCTATCAGCGTCCAGCTCCAACCTTATTCGGGGTATCGGTAACTTAGGTGCCATTTCAGCCTACTCCAAGAGCATAGTTACGCCATTCAGTAGCGCCAGGGACGCGGACGTGCGCGTTAACAATCCTGGAATCGTGACAGCGACCGCTGTGCCCGCGTCTGTGGTCGCAAATACTGCTCTTGCAGGTACCTGATCGCGAGGTGCCGCCCACGTACAAGTCGTCGGAACAAATATAGCTATCTCGTAAAATCTATAGGCTACTGCAGTCGAAACTTATTCGAGAAGATTGCTATATTTGTTTCATCGACTACACTTTAACCTCCGTTCTTCACCCTATTTTATCATCAAGTACTGATTTGCTACATTGCTGCTGTATAGTGGCACCACCTCTCGTCGACGTTAGACGATAACTTCAACTTCAATTGAGGGTGTCGAAAACATTAGACGCTTGGCAATCGCTTGCCGACACGCTTCTCTCGTCTTTCCTTCTGTCATTCTACTTCACCAATCTGTTCTCTACGGCAACACAACAACAACATTCACAACTACAATCAACAACTACGCGTAGTCGTATGAATAGCAATCATAGTATAGGTTAGTCGAATATAGCGGCCGTTGTTTAACAATGTGATAACTACGCAGACTAACGATTCTATTATTTAGTCCTTCTTTAGATCTCATTCATTCGCAATATTCCCGATGCTCCACGGATATTTACGACAACTCTGTAATGTTTCAGCTCCAGTGACCGCCGCTCTTGGGCCCACGCTTCTCGCCCCTGGACTGACCACTGCCCTCGCAGCTGGAACTGGAATCACCACTGGCTTAGCGCCTATAGGACTTAATGGTTTGGCCTTGAACGGCTTGGGAGCGCTAAAGGTTATCTAAAGGCCACGCTAGAACGACCATGGATCGTTGAAGGTCAGGCGGAAGCTTGATCCTTCGGCTCTGTCAACTACGCGTTTACGTTCGTGACGACGACGAATCGTTGTCGCGACGCAAACGATCTACATGTCACAAGATGTAATAAATCGTAATTAATCGTAAATCGAATAAACGTAAAATCGTTACGATACTATCTGTCCGTTCATTTCGAAAGCACCTATAGTGAAAGTAGCATACTGTATTTTCTAGTATTATATTGCGCTACGCTCTATTATTTGCAACAGAACATTGTAATGTAACGCGAGCATTCGCTTAGTCTGGCGGATTACCGAGCGACGAACCTCTTTGATCGTCTACTTTTCACTGAACTGAGTAGGAAGCATCGAGAGAGAATTCAGCCGAGAGTTCGAAGCGAGCATTCGTGATTCCAAAAACGACCCTTGTAACGTAACGTTGGTGTCGAACCGTAAAATTCGTGCCGAGCAGTTACATTACAGCGTTCTGTTGCACGTCAGTCGCCGGCTTTAGGCTGTACGATTCCGTACAACGATATTTGTACAATTTCCAAGGGACTCGTAGGTATAGGAATAGAGACAATAAACGCTTCTATACACGTTCAGTGTTGTATACTGTATTTAATAAATAGAATCATAGACAGATTACATTAAAAGTACAGCATTGTACAAAAGGTTGTCGCGTCCAGATAGAAGTGCAACGATGATCCATTGAGAGAGCCGTTTACCAGGAGTAGGAGACGCCGATGGGGCTGCTGTAGGCCATGTGGGATACAGCTACGGCTGGGGAGTATGCGACGCCGAGGAGTTGGTTCGAGTGGGCTATGGGGGCAGCGAGGGGTGCAGCGTGTGCAGCGTATGCCAATGGGGCGGCTTGAGCAGCGTACGCCACTGGAGCAGCATGAGCAGCGTACGCCACTGGAGCAGCATGAGCATACTGCGCGTAGATAGCTGGGTTCGTCACACGGATGTCGGATTTGCTGCTAGTCGAGAAAGGTGTCGCAATTGTCTTCGACTGGGTCGCGATTTGAGCCAGATTTCCACTACTGCGGAGTATATTGTCTGACGTCGATGTCAACGCTCCTGTTGTCAAGGTGTATTGTCCTGCATACGGGGCCAATGTGCCAGCGTTGCTCACTGCAAGAGTGCAGGCGAGGATCATGATCTGTACAAAAATGGGAGATTTTGTTAATGTAGTAGGCTTTGAATTTTTTGAAGATAGAGTTACTTTGAAATATTTAGAAATCCTCTATACTTTGAAAGTCATATAATAGGTTGGTTAGGCGAGATACCAGAAGACACATGTGCTCCAATGTGTGCCAACGTAAGCCAACACACGAGCACATGTGCCTTCGATTGTCTAAACTCTTTGGTCTGAACGCTACACGATATATTGTTAAGTATTCTTGTAATACGATTATTTTTCACGTGTGAACATAAAAGCCTTAAAATAATAGAATATTATCTCAGCTATCGTACTCGATGTACGGATCTACATCCAATATGGAACTAACGATTTTGGTAATGTAATATATACCTTGATGAACATTGTGGAGCTGGAGACTGAAGATCGGTTGATACTTCGAGAAATGTGTGGAAGCAAGTGCGTGTCGATGGTTTCGTAGCCGAAATCTTATATACCCCGCAGAACATACTGGCCAGCCACGAGTTGGAATCAGGTGGGGCACAAGGGCGTGTTTCGAACGAGTGTCGAAAAACTTTCGCTGTAGGATACACGCGCAATACTTTCTGTACTTTTCAGTGCCACGCCCGGCCCTCTTCTTTTTTTTTCCCCTCGACCAACAAAATCGCCGACTTTTATATCCCCTTCGACCTTGGGCTAACAATTCAAAATCATTCGAGTGACCGTCTCACGACGTGGCAAAAAATGACCGTGATC